TATATATATAAATAGCGTATATATCTAATAATAAGTAAACAAATCGTGATAAATAGGTAAGTACGATAGAAAATAGTTATCATACAGGAAGATAGGTAGAAGATAAGATACAAACTCATAATTAAATAATACATTCCAATAATCGGTCTGAAAACACAAAGATACAATACAATACACAAGTATACAAATTCACTCTACTAATATCACAAATATATTTTCATTATAAAGATAACCAATATCATATTCGATTAAACGAGATTAATTAAATATCTGTATATATGTTATCGTCAAAGCAAGAAATCAGTCATTGTTAATAATTCCTCGGCATAGTTATCAATGCAAAACACCTTCAGACGAAGATGGAAATAAGACATTTTACAGAGTTTTTCCAAGGCATTAAACATAATACTTTGATATTCTATATATGCCTTGGAAAAACTCTGTAAAATGTCATTTCCGTTTTCGTCGGAAGGAGCTTTGCATTGATAGCTATGCCGGGAAATTACTAGCAATGACTGATTTTCAGCTTTGACGGTAACATATACATTGTAAATTTAACAATGTAATATAGATAGACAGTTTATCGATAGATATTTCATTATTTTCAATGAAATTATTATGTAATAAACATATATCCCAGAATATAGTATAAAGGTATAATAAATGTACAATATTATATATCATTTATAAAAATGAATTCTGAAAAGAATGCGTCGAAGAAGCATAGAAGTCAAACCAAATAAAGTAATCAACAAATTGTCAATTCATCCACATTCTTTGTCATATCACACTTGTTCTGTATACATTTCAGAAACAACAGAAGCACCAGTGCAACATGACACCATAATCACATTACCACACAAAACAAAACACGATATAAAAACACAACCATCGTTCGAATCTGATACCGAGGTGACTGAAGAATACACAACGAAATTTAGACGTGGCAGCAAGGATGAAGATACGGCAGCTATTAAAACTAAGAAAACAATAATAAGAAAGAAGAAACCAACGTTGGGAAAAGAAGATGAAAATATTGTCGTTATCGAGGAAGAAATAGAAAATATTAAATCAACCTTACCACAAATACCGAAAAAACAATTCATGTCGATAGAAGAAATAACCGATGTTGTTACGGAAGAAGAAATAATACCTAGTAAGATAGAAGAAATCGAAGAAATTTCACTTGACGATGAAAAACTACCGGAAAAGAAAGTACCCAAAAAGAAAGATGAGGTAGAAGCAAGTTTCGTAGCTGAAGTAACGATAGAAAGACCGACTGGGACAGCAACTGAGATGCCTGAAGAAACGATAGAGATAGTAGAAACTCCAACGAAAAAAGTAATAACAAAGAGGAGAACGAGAAAGGATCAACCTACGGTTATAGTTCAAGAAATTATAGAGAAAACAGAAGACGAAACGAAGGTGATGGAAAAAGAAAAGATAATTGAGATAACTGAAACTCCGACGAAAAAGATTATAAAGAAGAAAAAGTCAAGAATCACTGAGACTGGAGTACCAGAAGAGATTGTCGAAGAGATTGTAATTGAAAAACCAAAAGAGGAACAGGTAAAGCCACTTTTAGAAGAATTAAAAACAGCAAAAGAGGAGAAGCCTGAAGTAATAGAAATCATTGAAACACCAACAACTAAGATAGTAAAGAGGAAAACGAAACCCACGAAGAAAGGTGAACGTGAAGTTATAACACAAGAGATCATACAGAAAACGCAAGATGAAATAGAAATAATGGAAGATCAACAGATCGTAGAAATCACTGA